CTGAATGTTTGGGGAATGCAGCAAGTATTGATATATTACTGTGGTTTTAGCCGTTTGGTTGTAATTCGTGTTCAAATTTTAAAAAATGGTCGAAAAAGCAGTGTTTTCACATTTCATTGATTTACTCGACAACTATAATAGATAGAATGAATCCAATATATGAATATGAAAGCTGAATGTTTGGGGAATCCAGCAAGTATTAATACATTCCTGTGCTCTTATCCATATTGCTTTAATACTCGTTCCTTTTATGAAATGAAGGAGGTTGGGGAGGCGCCAAATGATTACATACTTTTGAGGGAGGCGTAGTAACATCAAGTTTGGAAACCACTGCTCTAATCTCTACCAATCATTTAATGCCACCAACCACTAAATTATAGGACAATGAGCTACAAGAACAAATATGCAGAATAGACAGATCGTTTATAAAGTTTCTTCGGATTTTCAAGTTTGTCCTTTACTAGAGTTAATGTATGCAACCAAATGTGCACACGCATATGCAATATATTCGTATTCTTCTTCTTCTTCTTTTCCACCACCTCTCTCATTTAGCCTGTGCCGCGCACAATTTCGCCAGTTTCCGCCGCGTGCTCAAGAAGGGACTAAATGTGACATGTAACAGAGGAAAACAATGTAAACAGTTTCCAAACCGGGACTCTGCGGTTCTGTACGCCTGGGCTAGGTTGAGTCTCGGAATTGATTATAGTGTGTTTGTAAATAGGACTGCAACCAGACAGACAGAGTAGGGGAGAAGCCTTATATTCGTATTCGGCTATTAAAACTTCAATGTTGGCATGGTCATTTCGATTTACCAGATTTGGAAACCTTCACAGAAACAGGGGATTCCCCTCAAAGAAGAAAAGCACCACTGATGGATTACAAAGTATAAGAAGTGACGGAATCTCAGCCTTTTTTTCTTTACGAAATATACATTGATAATGTATTAATTTATTTAAAAGCAAAAATATCGAAAGGATAGAACGAATATGCAAACATTTGGTTTTGAAAGTATATTTGGTGGTCATTTTTTTTTTATTTAAACATGCGAAAACTAATAATTGGTATATTTTTCTAATCGACTTACTTTAATCGCTGTAGGAACAAATGTGTTTGCTTATTGAAGTAATCAAAGGTTTAGAACAAATAAATGATTAATTATAGAATATAGTTTATTTCTAGTATTGCTAACTTAATACAAAAGTGTATCTATATATGACACAAAAGAACGTTACATAAAATAAAAGTCTTAAAAATAGTCTTTATCATCCAACCAGAATTCAGGGTCATTTTCATTATCCTACCAGAATTCTAATGACCCTGAATCCCCGAAATAGAATTCAGGGTCATTATCATCCCCGAAATAGAATTCAGGGTCATTTTCATCATCCAACCAGAAATCACGGTCATTATCAAAAACATTTTTACTATTTATGGTGAAGCCTATTTTGTACATCGGGTAAAAAGTGTCATCATCGTACTTGACAATCACATCTTCATTGGATTTCATCGTCGAATCGTATCCACTCTTTGGATATTTTAATCCTTGACTACCAATATGACATTTATTCTTTATAACTTTGCAGAGGAATACACAATATTCCTTATTTAACATTGGTCTATTTGAAACGCTGTAGTGGAACGCGTACGAAAAATATTTTGAGAACGAAACGCCTTTGCCGAACTTCTGCTCTATCACTAATCTGTAGTCTAAATTGTTCTTGCAAATTAGATCGACATTGGATTCCTTGGTTCCGTGCCACAGTTCGCATTCGAGTCCATCCATTTCGGATTTCTTCAAGTTGTAAAGTGCAAGCGTATAGGGATTGA